TTGGTAAATCAACTTGAAATTTTCATGCTTCGCATCTAAACAATTTATTAAATTTGTATAATCACTTCCTTTTTTTTGAGTTATTGGTTGTGATTCAGAAGGACACAAATCACATTGATGTTTATGCTTATTTTGATTTATTAATTAAAGAATATCTAGAATTAGAAGAATGATTAGAAAGAAATATATCAGTAATCTATGATTGTATTTTTGAAGAAGCTGCAATTAAAGTGTTACAAATACAAGAAGCAGTACTAATATTTACTAAGAGACAAAAACTTCAAGTATTTGTTATTAAGCAAAATATGCAATTAATAGTAGAAGGCAAACCTATAACTATAAAAGAACGAGTTTTAAAAAAACATAAGCTAGAAGAATTAAAATATATAGATATAAATATTATATCTTCTATATCTAATGCAGTAGAGTATTTGTTTTCAATTGTTAAATATTACTATATAGACTAGAAGAAGTTTCTTAATTCATATACTTTGAAAAATATTTTACTATTAAGAATGAATAGTAAAATATAGTCAATTCAAAATATTAGTTAAATTAAATAATAATATTATATAGTACTATCGCTATATTTGTATTTTGCAGAATTTATTAGATTAAGATTTCTAATATGCAAGTTTTATACAAGTTTGACTATAAGATCTTTTTTTTTATACATGTACAGTACAACATATGACTGCATTTATATATATAGTATTAGTATACAATAATATTATACATAACAAATAATTTATATATATCAATTGTTTAAAATTTTTTTTACTAATGCTATATACAGTATTTAAAAATTAGGTATATATGTGATAAAAAAGAAAATTAATTTTAATTGCAATTGATTGCAATTATCTTGTCATTAATTGGGTTTCAATTAATTGTAAGATAATTTTAATTTATTTTAATTGATAACATATAACAAAAATTAATTGTTAATTAATTTTTTAGTAGCCTAGTTTTTTGAACCTAAGTTTAGTTGTCTATAATTAAGTTTTTTCAAATCTGAATTTAGTTCGAATTAGAGGTAGGAATCGATTCTATTTTGGAAATTAATAATTGAATTACCAGAATCAATTTTAAAATCAATAATTGAATTTATTTTTTGATTAAAATTTATAAGGTTTATTACTATCTATAATTTGATCTAGTTATGTATAATAAATAATATATTAAACATATTAAAATAATTTTTAAAAATAATTTTTTAATATAAATAAAGAATAATATAATAAAATAAATAATACACTAAAATATTAATAAAAAAAATATAGAAAAAAAGCAAAAGCTAAAAAAAACCCTATAACATACAATTAATATAGTTTAAATAAATATCTAGATAAAACATATTAGTATATATATATATATATGAGCTTATAATTTAAATTAAGTTTTATTATTAATTATTTTTTAAATTGATTTATAATTTATTGTAGTTTACAAAATTATATAAATTTTGCAGATCAAAAAAAAAAAAGAAATTGCACAATTTTTAGGCAATTTTTAAGTTATTTTTGATTTTTTAAAACAACTCTGATATGACAATTTCATATCTAGATATTAGAGTTGTTTAAAAAAATCAGAAATCACTTAGAAATTGTCTAAAAATTATGTGATTTCTTTTTTTTTAATAATCTGCAAAATTTACATAATTTTGCAAACTGCAATAAATAATTTAATAAAAAATTATATATATATATACATATCTAATTTTATTGCTTATTCCAATTTGTATCATATTGAATATCTGTATATTTATTATTTCTTTTTAAAAACATTAGGTGTTCAACTAAATTTAAACTTTGTGATATTCTTTTAAAGCTAATTAGTTAACTTGTATCTGAAAATAACTTCTCAGAAGGTACAAAAGTTCTTAGTATTTATAGATATTTCCTTGCAAATTGAGATAATCTTAGATAATGAATTTTATTAACTTGTTACTAAATTAAAGGATTATGTTCTTCTAATACTAGAAGAACATTTTCATTTAAATAGTGAGTAAATTTATCATGTACAGAAGTAGAAATTATTTGATTTCTTATAGTAAAAATACTAGCTATTACGGATTTACTTGATTTATTTAATATTTGATTAACTATTTCAATATAATATATTGTTTTTGTTTTATATTCTTGTTTAATTTCTTTTATTACTTGTATTTTTAATTCCTAATAATAAGTTAATATATAGTATAAAATAAAAGAAAGTATTAAAGTATAATTAAAAAAATCTGATTTAACTTATGACTTATTAGTTCAAATTAAATAATTTTATTACTATTCTATTTGTCTTAATTATACAAATTGAATAATATAAAAATTATTTGTTTTAAATTACTAAGTTATAAGTTATTAATATTTGAATATTTATAAAAATTATAAAAAATATAACTTAAAGTATTGTAGCAAATTTATAATAATTTGTAATCTAATAAATTAAAATGAATAATTTTTTTATTATTTAATTTATTTTAATAAGATAAATTAAATAATACAAAAATCTTTTAATTAGAATTAATAGATTATAAATTATAGTTAATATTTACTTTATCTAAATTTTAAATAATATTATATCTGACTTAAAAATTCCAAATCTTTAAAACTAAGATCAAAAAATGATGTATATATTTTAATATTATTTGAATAGTTCTAATGTAAGACTAAATCTTCATTAATTTTATTTTTTACTTCTATTGCTTCAGAAATAATAAAATGATTAAATCTTTCTAAAAGAGAATCATGAAGAGAAACTATATATAGATTAATTAAATTTAGTGTTGAATAATTTTGACCACTAAACAATCTTGTAACTTGTTCAAAAGGTTCAAGCAATTGAATTAACTCTTTTATAATTTTCTATTTATAAGTACTAGGAATTAACTCTTCTAATAATTTATCTTCTTATCTAATTCTTGAATTAGTATCTTGAAGTAAAGTTTCTTAAAAATAATAATAGCAGATTTAAATATAATAAGGCATTCAAATATATAAAATGTAGAATTCTATCTAGTATTATTTGATTTAACAATATTAAGAATAAT